TCCATAAAATGCGTTGCACAAATTCGAACATCTGGGTTGTGCTGTTCTGTTGTAAATAAATCTTAACCAATGATTCCTAATTGCATCTACTTCCGGAAGGCCAAATAAAGTGCTTTTGCTTTCGCACTGAAACACAGCATCTCCCTGACATGGATGCATCAACAGGACTGCTGTTCCTGAAACCACGCCTTCTTTCTTTGCGTGCACATTTGGGTGACATTATGCTAATATTTCTACATAGTGACATAGATATGTTAGGGGCGTGTTAGAACGAGCCGTTTTAGGTAGGTGTGGCTGACTCTCAACTTTTATAAAGAATATCTCTTTGGATTTGAGACTTTAGTCTTTGCAACTTTACAGATCTTCTTTATGCACCAAGAGCTTGTAACACTCCAAAGAGAAAGGAAAACTTGAAATCGCATCATATGACCCCTTTAATATTTTTGGGGACCTGTGATACTTTTTTCAGGATTCTTTGATGAATAAAACGTTCAAAAGAACAGTGTTTATTCAAAACATAAATTGTTACAATATACACTACTATTCAAAAGTTTGGGGTCAGTACATTTTTTACATTTAAAGAAATATATTAATTTAAAGAAATTAATACTTTTATTCAGCAAGGATGTGTTAAATGGATAAAAAGTGATAGTAAAGACTTGTATCGTTAGAAAAGATATCTATTGTGAATAAATGCTGTTCTTTTTAACTTTTTATTCTTCAAAGAAAAAAGTATCACAGGTTCCAAATAAATAATAAGCAGCAAAACGGTTTCAACACTGATAATAAATCAGCATATTAGAATGATTTCTGAAGGATCATGTGACACTGAAGACTAGAGAAAGGATGCTGAAAATTCAGCGCTGCGTGACTGCGTCACAGAAATAAATTATATTTTAAAGTATATTAAAATAGGAATCCAATATTATTTCACAATGCTACTGTTTTTTTTTCTGTATTTTTGATCAAATAAATACAGCCTTGATGAGCATAAGAGACTCTATTAAAAATCTTACTGATCCCAAACTTTTGAACAGAAGTGTATACCTAAATAAGTTTACAAATTGAAAAACAAATGTTTCAAATTGTATAACTAATATTTAAATATGTAGTTAAAGATGCATGTTGAGTGGCATTTTTTTAAACTTAATTGAGTAAATTAATTGGAAGTAGTTAGCAGATGCTTTTTTTTATATAATAAATGCAATTTAACAGTTTAAAAGCATTAGAAATGACTTATTATTATTTATTAACTACATTTTCAATATATTTATCGAAATGTATATGTTGCTGTTGTAAAAACTTATGCTTATGTGTCAAGATACACTACTGTTCACAAGTTTGGGGTCAGTAAGATTTTATCATTTAAAAAAAACGGTAGTATTGTGAAATATTGTTAAAATTTAAAATAACCTTTTTCTATTTTAAAATATTGTAAAATGTAATTTATTCTTCAGTGTCACATGATCCTCCAGAAATCATTCTAATATGCTGATTTGTTACTCAAGAAATGTTTACTTATTGAAAACTATTGTGCTGCATAATAATTTTGTGGAAACGGTGATACATTTTGTCTTGATGAATATAAGTCTTATAGAATATAAATATTTTATAGCATTATAAATGTCTTTAATGTCACTTTTGATCAATTGAATGCACCCTTGCTGAATAAAAGTATAATTTTTTTAACATTTAAATGTATGTATGTATTTACATTTTTATTTTTGAATTAATAATTTTTTCCCATCCACCTTCCATTAGAAAGTTATTGTGCATGATCTTAGTGTGGTTGTACTGTAAGTATGTCAGACATTGTCATTGTGTGTTTGTTCACTCATCTCTTGAGTTCTTGCTGTTCTCTCTCAGGTTCCGTAGGAAGTCAGGTGGTCTTGGGAGCCGAGGAGCAAATGATGATCTTTCAGAAGGTGCGGTTTTTCTAGAAATGTCCATCTCACACTGCTGTTATAGGAGGAATAAAACGCAAACAAACCTATTATGTTGACACAGCATTCATTTTGAAGAATCCGAGGCTAAAGCGAGCCAACAGTTAACAATTTGTATAAGATGTTTCATTTAATGACTGTTTTATGATAAAATGTTTTACAAACAAGCTTTATATTGTATTTGATGTTTTACAGAGCAGCTCCATGCTGAAGTGTGTTACGCTGAGTGTTTACTGCACAGAGCCGCACTCACATTCTTACAGGTTTGACACATTTCAAGACAAATTTAACTAACAATCAGACAATCTCAGATGTTTTGTTTGAACTGTGTGCGCGTTTTGATATCTTTGAGGTCTTAACCTTAACGTGTAGAACTTGATATCTTTTTTTAACCTCAGATTAAAGGATTAGTTCACCCCAAAATGAAAATTTGCTGAATATTTATTCACGCTCAGGCCATTCAAAATATAGATGAGTTTGTTTCTTCATCAGAACAGATTTGGACATTTTGCTCACCAGTGGATCCTCTGCAGTGAATGGGTGCCGTCAGAATGAGTCAAAACAGCTGATAAAAACATCACAAGTAATCCACACTGATCCACTCCAGTCCATCAGTTAATAGTTTGTGAAATGAAAAGGTGTGTGTTTGAAAGAAACAAATCCATCATTAAGTTGTTTTTAACTTTAAACAATTGCTTTCGGCTAAAATATAAGTCATCTATTCATAATATGCTTTCTCCAGTGAAAAAGTCTTCTGGTCTGAATCAGGAGAGAAATATGCACAGATCAAGCAGCGTTTACAGTCAAACAGTCCAGAATGGATCTTAACCAATATGTTGGTGGATTTTGATGTGAGAGGAAATCAGGTATTGACTTTTTCACTGGAGGACACATTATTATGGATTATGGACTCATATTTTTGCCAAAAGCAACAGTTTAAACTTAAAATGCCTTAATGATGGGTTTATCATAAACGCACAACTTTTCACTTCTCAAGATTGGACTGGAGTGGTGTGGATTATTGTGATGTTTTTATCAGCTGTTTGGACTCTCATTCTGATGGCACCCATTCACTGCTGCATCTTTGATGGCCTGAGGGTAAAATTGCAGCAAATTTTTATTTTGGTTTCAACTATTCCTGAGGCCTAAGGCCACTTTTAACTTGATCCTACTCCAGAGCTCAGATCTGCAGCTGATTTCTCATTCTCTATTTGTTGACAGGATGAGAATATGGTTAGTTTTATTAAAGGAGGAATCAAAGTACGTAACAGTTACCTCATATACAAGTAAGTCTGTAGCAAGTAAGTGGAGGAAATCTGTGGTTTTACTGTACATAAATGAGAATAATTGGTGTCATCAAGACACCTGCACGGAGTCCTCTGCACAATCTGACTTTGCTGCAGCATGGAACAACCTGCTGGTTCGTCTGGTCAGAGGAGAACTGGCCCCCCGACTGAGCCTGGTTTCTCCCAAGGTTTTTTCTCCATTCTGTCACCGATGGAGTTTTGGTTCCTTGCCGCTGTCGCCTCTGGCTTGCTTAGTTGGGGACACTTAATTTCCAGCGTTATCGTCGACTTGATTGCACAGATAGTATTTAAACTGAACTGAGCTGGATGATAACATTACTGCTTTAACTGAAAATTGAGTGTTTACTATTGTCCTATTTTGATACTGTAAAGCTGCTTTGACACAATCTTTATTGTTAAAAGCACTATATAAATAAAGGTGACTTGACCTGCACCATTTAACCCAGTAGAAATAACCTATATTTGATTCCCATTTGTGCGCCAAAATCCTTGAATTGAACTGTTCAGTTAATCTCTCTGCTGTGAATGACGTCATGATTCTCATGCAGGGAGCTGAATGCCTTTGTCCAATCAGACACAGCTTTCAAAGGACCAAACCACAAGCACTTAGAGGGCGGAGTCTCTTTTGGGATTGGGGCTTTCAATTTGGTATGTGCATCTCAAATATTGCATCGATATTCCTTAATATTTAAACGCCAGATTGTCCATTGTGTTGCTGTTCTTCACTGTCACACAGACTCTTTCACTGTTTCCTGCCCGGTTACTCAAGTTGCTAGAGTTTGCTGGCTTTTCTGGAGATAAGGTGTTTGTTTTTGTTTTTTTTTACCTCGGATTACACTCTTACGTTCTCATTTTTGGAAAGAAATTTTGCCAGTGTGTTTATTTTTTGGTTAATAGTCTTTGGTGTGTGTGTAGGAATTTGGCATCTCTCAGCTGTACACGGGTGCCACCTCTCATACCCTGCGCTCCATGCTGTGCGCCCTCCTCCTGCTCTGTTTCTACACGTTCCTCTCCTTTATTTTAGGTATTTGTGATACATGATGTATTTGATACCCACATAAAGCAGACATCTTACACCATAATTGCAAGATGTTTCTTTAGTTAATTGTGCAAACTTAAGGGATAGTTCTTTAATGTTTTTTTTTTTAGTATGTATTTGAAATAGATAGATATATAGATAGACAGACAATAATATATTTGAATATACATTTAAATATTTTTTAAATGTATGTTATTACCATTTTTATTTTATATGTCAAATAAAATATGATTGTATGAGTTTAATATTTATGCACACACACTAACTGTTCAAAATAAATTAGTTTTATTTAAAAGTTTAATTAAAGAAATGTTATTAAGCAATGATGCGTTAAATTGATCAGAAGTATAATGTTTATAATGTTACAAAAGATTTTCTGTATTAATTAAATGCTCAAATTCATCACTGTTTCTACAAAAATATTAAGCAGCACAACTGTTTTCACCATTGATAATAAAAATAATTGTTTCTTGAGCAGCAAATCATCATTCTGAAGAATCATGTGACACTGAAGACTGATGCTGAAAATTCAGCTTTGCATCATTTGAATTGCATCACAATTGAATTTTGCATTGCATTTGAATATATTCAAATATATTCACAATATTACTGTGTTCCTGTATTTTTGATCAAATAAATGCAGCCTTGGTGAGCAAAAGAGGCTTCTTACAAAAGCATTGAAAAAATCTCACTGACCGCAAACTTTTGAACAGTAGTGTATATATTGAAATGATAGAATTCTCAGATATTTTGATGTTATTAATGAAGTGATGTTTTGTGTAGGTACTGGAGAGGGGGACGTGGAAGAGGCAGAGCGACTATTGAAGCCATTTCGACTGCGATACCCACGTGTAGGTTTTTGCTTCTGTCTTTTTAACTTCATTTATAAATGAATTTATTTAGAATTTCAGGGCCATGTTCACATTTATAAAGATGTTTTGTTTTCAATTCTGGTGCTTATATTCTCTTAAAGACTCCATACAGTCAAAATCTGAGCTGACTCGCATGCTTGTTGACAAATTTACATTTGACCGATTTAAACATTTGCAGTCTTTGTATTTTTAGACCATATTTTTATTCAGGTGAATACAGATGTTTAGAAACCTGAATAGTAAAGCCATGAGGTCTTTTTTGGGTGTTTTTGGAGCTCACGTTCTGATTCTCTCTCCAGGGAGCGATTTTCCTCTTCTTTGCAGGTCGAGCTGAAGAAATAAAGGGCAACATTGATGAGGTGAATCTGACCACATGGCATTTTTTTCTTTTTATTCCAATGTTTTTAAAGACTTCAGACTGGTTAGAAGACAATTAAACTACTATTAAGAAATTAAGGCTAACATTATAATTGGGCTTGTAGATCTTGTTCACTAATGTTTTGTCATTACTGTACCCCTGCATGTACAGGCGGTGGCGCTGTTTGAGGACGGCTGTAAGGCCCAGCAGGCCTGGAAACAGTTTCATCACATGTGCTACTGGGAGCTGATGTGGTGCTTCACCTTTAAGAAGCACTGGAAGATGGCGTATTTCTACGCAGACCTGCTCAGCCAGGAGAGCCGCTGGTCTAAGGTGACCCGACTGCTCCAAAACAACAGTTTAGACCCAAATTTGTTCTTGTCATGTTTCATGATTAAGGCCCAATGCCAATCTGAAATATAATGGTTCAGTACAAATCTGGAAGTTCATTTGCGTTATGTTTTGGTGAAATTATTAAAAAAACAACATCCTTAATAATCCTAAAGGCAGTTTAGTTTACTGAGAAACGCCCATGTCATGGTTGTCTAATTGTGATATGTATAGATGCCAAGACATTTCTGCGTTGTATGTTTGAAAAGGCCTCCACCCTGAATGTAAATCAAGTGTGGGATTTTATTGGTGCTGGGAAAAAGTCTGCTTTGTGTTTAATACAAACTAGGAAGCAATGCAGTTAGTTTCCCCTTAGTTTTGCCTACTTTAAAGGTGTTTAAACACTTTCAAATTGAAGTATGTCATGTATTATTGTCAGAAAAAAAATTCTATAATTTATTTGTTCATTTATAAAGTTACACATTTTGGACAGTTGTACCACAAAAGCATTGAAAAAATCTCACTGACCGCAAACTTTTGAACAGTAGTGTATATATTGAAATGATAGAATTCTCAGATATTTTGATGTTATTAATGAAGTGATGTTTTGTGTAGGTACTGGAGAGGGGGACGTGGAAGAGGCAGAGCGACTATTGAAGCCATTTCGACTGCGATACCCACGTGTAGGTTTTTGCTTCTGTCTTTTTAACTTCATTTATAAATGAATTTATTTAGAATTTCAGGGCCATGTTCACATTTATAAAGATGTTTTGTTTTCAATTCTGGTGCTTATATTCTCTTAAAGACTCCATACAGTCAAAATCTGAGCTGACTCGCATGCTTGTTGACAAATTTACATTTGACCGATTTAAACATTTGCAGTCTTTGTATTTTTAGACCATATTTTTATTCAGGTGAATACAGATGTTTAGAAACCTGAATAGTAAAGCCATGAGGTCTTTTTTGGGTGTTTTTGGAGCTCACGTTCTGATTCTCTCTCCAGGGAGCGATTTTCCTCTTCTTTGCAGGTCGAGCTGAAGAAATAAAGGGCAACATTGATGAGGTGAATCTGACCACATGGCATTTTTTTCTTTTTATTCCAATGTTTTTAAAGACTTCAGACTGGTTAGAAGACAATTAAACTACTATTAAGAAATTAAGGCTAACATTATAATTGGGCTTGTAGATCTTGTTCACTAATGTTTTGTCATTACTGTACCCCTGCATGTACAGGCGGTGGCGCTGTTTGAGGACGGCTGTAAGGCCCAGCAGGCCTGGAAACAGTTTCATCACATGTGCTACTGGGAGCTGATGTGGTGCTTCACCTTTAAGAAGCACTGGAAGATGGCGTATTTCTACGCAGACCTGCTCAGCCAGGAGAGCCGCTGGTCTAAGGTGACCCGACTGCTCCAAAACAACAGTTTAGACCCAAATTTGTTCTTGTCATGTTTCATGATTAAGGCCCAATGCCAATCTGAAATATAATGGTTCAGTACAAATCTGGAAGTTCATTTGCGTTATGTTTTGGTGAAATTATTAAAAGAACAACATCCTTAATAATCCTAAAGGCAGTTTAGTTTACTGAGAAACGCCCATGTCATGGTTGTCTAATTGTGATATGTATAGATGACATTTCTGCGTTGTATGTTTGAAAAGGCCTCCACCCTGAATGTAAATCAAGTGTGGGATTTTATTGGTGCTGGGAAAAAGTCTGCTTTGTGTTTAATACAAACTAGGAAGCAATGCAGTTAGTTTCCCCTTAGTTTTGCCTACTTTAAAGTGTTTAAACACTTTCAAATTGAAGTATGTCATGTATTATTGTCAGAAAAAAAATTCTATAATTTATTTGTTCATTTATAAAGTTACACATTTTGGACAGTTGTACCTCAAGACACAATGAAATGGACTGGACTTCATCAAAGATTTTATTCAGAACAGCAATAAAGTAGTTAATATTTTTATATGGAGGAGCATTTTCTTTCTACATTGTTTTTAAAATAACAAAAAAAGCTTTGAAAAATTCTCAAAATAAAAAAGAGCTTTTGAAAATCTGCCATTTTACATGTGTGAATATGCTATATACCCACCGGAATTACTGTATTCACAAGGTCAGAAAACTAGAAATTCTAAATATTCTTAAAAAGCAGGAAATCTTGCAAACCGAAAGGCAAAATGACATATTTCTTCATGATTGATGAAATGTTCTCAGCCGCCATGTTTGATGACAACCCACTGACCTCTAACAACTCAATTTGTTTTGCAATTTTGGTGAAAATTTTGGTGAATTTGAAAGTAGATTCGGTAACACTTTCTATGAAGCCCATATTTATAATACATTATA